AATGGCGGGTCGTAAAAGTGCGACAGTCAACACTGCAGCGGCTCGCTTGGCCACGAAGAGAATAGCTGGACCGGTTGGTATGTCGGTCTGTCTGTCTGTCGGTCTGTCGGTGTGTGGGTAGGAGTACGGGTGGGGCAGGGTGGCGTTGAGACGGACAATTTGCAGCCGCCGGTCGTGGTTGTGCGTCGTTTCTCTTTCGGTGTGTCTGGCCCGTCTCCGCAGTCGTGGCGTCGTGGCGTCGTGGCGTCGTGGCGTCGTGGCGTCGCGGCGTCGCGGCGTCGTGGCGTTGTGGCGTTGTGGGGTCGTGCGTGCGGGTGGGGAGGTGCGGAGGTGCGGAGGTGCGGAGGTGCGGAGGTGGGCGAGCCGGCGGTCCTCGAGACGAGCAGAGTTCGCCGCCTGACTCATGCTGGAATGACTCGACTCAGGCGAGGACTGCCGGTGCACCGACCCGACCGGCCTCGTTGGGCGCATCAACTTTGCACGCCTTTTCGCACACAACTTCATCGTCATTCATCATCATCATCATCTTCGTTTTCAGCATCAGCATCAGCATCAACTTCACCTTCATCCTCGTCGGGAAAGTGAAATTGAACCAAATTTGCGTCAACTTCAACTTCCTTATTTACATCTTCATTGTCGAAATTAATTTCAACAGCATTTTCAATTTGTAGCCAATTTTGACTCTTTCAACTTAATCATCAAATTCTTAGTCTACATCATCCACAAATTCAACGTCATCTTCATTGTCAAAGTTAATTTCAACAACATTTTCCAATTCAAATCATCAGTCCATTTTAACATCGCCACCATCATTTCCTCTTCCTCGTCTGATTTAGATTTAACAACATTTTCACATTCAACGTTGGCATCAACTTCCCCTTCATCCTCGTCGGGAAAGTGAAATTGAGCTAAATTTGCGTCAACTTCAACTTCAAATTAAATATCTTCCTTATTTACATCTTCATTGTCGAAATTAATTTCAACAACCTTTTAAATTTGTAGCCAATTTTGACTCTTTCAACTTAAGCATCAACTTCTCAGTCTACATCGTCCACAAATTCAACGTCCTCTTCATCGTCAAAGTTAATTTCAACAACATTTCCCAATTCAAATCATTAGTCCATTTTAACATTGCCGTCTTCAAATTCAACTTTATCGCCAGCATCATTTCATCTTCCTACTCTTATTTAGATTTAACAACATTTTTACACTCAACGTTGGTATCAACTTCAACTTCATCCTTGTCAGGAAAGTGAAATTGAACCAAATTTGCGTCAATTTCAACTTCAAATTAAACATCTTCCCTATTTACATCTTCATTGTCGAAATTAATTTCAACAGCATTTTCAATTTGTAGCCAATTTTGACTCTTTCAACTTAATCATCAAATTCTTAGTCTACATCATCCACAAATTCAACGTCATCTTCATTGTCAAAGTTAATTTCAACAACATTTTCCAATTCAAATCATCAGTCCATTTTAACATCGCCACCATCATTTCCTCTTCCTCGTCTGATTTAGATTTAACAACATTTTCACATTCAACGTTGGCATCGACTTCAACTTCAAACTTATCTTCATTTTTATCGTCAGAGTTAATTTTAATAGGATTTACAAATTCAAAACATTGTTCAATTTTTACATCTTGATTTTCATATTTACATTTCAACCTCAACCTCAACATCATCTTCAACTTTATCTTTATCGTTACGACTGAATTCAACAACATTTTCATAATTAACGTTATCCTCATCCTCAACCTCATCATCAGCTTCAGCTTCACCGCCACAGACAATTTCAACTACCTCTTCAAATTCAAATTTGCATTTAATTAATACATGCGACCATACCAGAAGCCACAACAACTTGGTCTTCATATCTTTAACACATGTTCATTAGCATATTCACCTTCGTCGTCAACTGCCCGCTCAGCAGCATCTTCACCTGCATGACCAATTTCGAATTCAACATCATCTTCATCCTCACCATCTACTTTACATTAACTACAATTTCATCTTCATTTTTAGCATTAAATTTACTTTCAACATCATCTTCTTCATCATTTATATCATCACTTTTATCTTTAATTTCAACATTATCTTCCTTGTCAATTAGATCATTATTCCATGCATCTGCATTGCATTTAACAAAACCCTCTTTCTCAACATTTCTTTACTCGAGCGGAACGCAATTTTGCTCCCGTCTACTTTACATCATCTTCAGAAGCGGCTTTCCAATCCAAAGTGTGATAGTTAATCATTTAATTGTCAACACTTTCACAACCTCGCCACATTGGCACAATTTCCTTTTGGTTACAGGAAAGACGAGAAATTCACAGAAGCATGTCACACTTTGTGGTGGGACTATCGATGCAGCCAAGTTCTGTCTGCTATTGCAATTGACTATCATCGACTGTTTACAAACTAAAAATAAATAATTTACTCAATTGCTATAGCAGATGCAACTTTGCTTCATCGGCAATCCCACGACAAGATGTGATGTGGCAAAACGCCTGGCCTTCCTTGCAATTCACACCTTTCCTGTGACCCAATGGCACTCGTGGCGATGTGGAGTTGTGGTTAACGCGTCGAAACTGCAGTCCGGAACAGGCCAGCCGAAATGAGAATGCTTTTGGCAAAACACGATTATAAGAAAATATGAAGACCAAGATGTTGTGGCCTTTCGATGTATAGAAGTGGGTTGACCTCGTTGTCGCAACTTCGTCTTGTTGTCAGGGCGACTATGTAAAACGCAACTAGTCCGAAATCTTCTGACATGATTCCCAGCATCTGACAGTCGACTTGGTACATTCTCAAACGTTTCGCCGGCATCATCAGTCAGTTTTGCCATTCTCCGCGCCACCTTCGACCGTTTTCGGCAGAACGGTTGTCGAGCGATTGACTTGACTTGTCTCTTTGACCAGTTTGTAGCCTGGCGCGGAGAATGGCAAAACTGACTGATGATACCGACTACGATGCCGGCGAACCTTTGAGAAGGTAACAAGTCTGGCAATCATGACAACTGATATGGCAGACGACTTCGGACTAGGCGCGTTCTACTTAGTTGCCATGACAACAAGATCAAGTTGCGACAACGAGATCAACCCACTTCCATGTGAAGTGAGGTTTGGAGAAAGAGATTCAACACTAATATGCTGGCGAAATATCTGGTATGTGCCAAGTCTCACATCTTTCCGTTTGAGAATGTACCAAGTCCACCGTCTGACGCTGGGAGTCATGACAACTATTGTTCAGCTTACTTCCATTTTGAGTGAAAGTGTTGGGTGAGTTTGCTAAACTCTTTTGCTTGGATTTCGTTGTGACGATGTTATCTCGCTGGGATGATGTTCGTCACATGATGGACAAAAACTTGCCACTTTTTCACAGGAATCGAGTGGAATTGCCTCGGAAACAGCGTCAGCATGAATGTTCCAGTAAAGCCAATCGA